TCTGCAGAGAAGTTTCCAAATCAGATCTCCAACACTCCCCCCACCCCCCCAAACATACGCTTGCACTGGATGAAGAAGCACAAAGCTCTACAGACCATTCTTCCCGGGTTCCCATCTAGACTGCCCTCTAGTGGACTGAAAGACTCAGACACTGAGCGGGGAGAATCCTGCTCAGGAGACCATGAGAGTTCTAAGATTTTTATGCTGATTTGTTTTACTTGCTATCAAGTTTTGGATGCTTTCATTTTTATTCATTGCTTGTATTTTTTCTGTACATCTGGTCAGTAAGTTTCTCTTTAGCTCTGCTTTCCCTCCCCACTTCCTCTGCAGTCATCCTGAGAGCCACAAACCCTGCCTTTCAGAATTCAGTCTTAAAGCAGTCCCCCCGCCTTTCCTATCGCCCTCCCCACTTCTACTTTCCTCTGTCTGCAACTGGAACTGGGCTCTAACTCCTATTTTCTTCTGTCTCTGTTACCCAGCGTGATCCTCCTTTTCACCTCTACTTCTAGCTGGTAAATAGATTGCCACGTCAAGGTTTCTCTTTTGAGGGGAGGAGGTTGTAGTGTTTTTTATATTTGTCTGTCTGTCTGCTAATTTTCTCCATTTCTCTTCCTCAACACAATATCACCTAGCGAACTCTTCTACCTCTCCCCCTGCACTTTCTCATTGCCCCTTCTGTTAAGCTTAGCCATCCCCTTTCTTCCTTATAACACCATATACCTTGTATTAGTCATTACCGCTATCCCCCCATCTCTGTCCCACCCTCAGTACCTCGGGTCTTCCAGGATCACAAAGATTCACCTTTGCTCCCATGACCTCTAAAGACACCAGAGCAAAAGTGAGCGGTCTTCTTTAGGGATGGCTGTAGTCTCAAGGCTGTGGTTTATCCTCTCCACAGCATCCTCTTTCCTCTCCACTGGCCCCTCCTTCCTTTTCTCCAGCTCCTCCTCCTCCCTCTCCCCCAGGTCCTCCTCCTTCACCCATGGCTCCCGCTCCCTCTCCACAGCAGTGTCTCCACTGTGGCCACTTCAGCACCTCACCTTCCTCACCCTGTGTGCAGCAGGCAACAATGCGCTGAGTCTGGAGAGCTGAAGTTCAATGTTCTGCTGAGCCAATCTAGTGACAAAAAAACACAACACCCACTTCTATGCGATCACGGAGAAACCCATGACTAAGAACACGGGGCTGGAACCCATGGATGCAGATATCATGAAAACCTGGCTGTTGTTGAGATTATTTTTAAGGGGACCTTTACACATTTTTCCTTTGGTCTTGCAGAAGTCTTAAAAGCTACAGAATGTTACATTCCATTAAGGTAACGAAACCTTTCAGCTTTTGAACAGCAAAACCATCTTAGTACAGTCCAGAAGAAGGCAGAAGAGAGAAAACAAATACAGAGAGCCCCAAATCTCTACATGCTAAGCCTGTAGTTACAGTTTAGGATACCAAAGGCAAATGTCTGGGTTTTGTTCTTTTTAGACCCAGGAGGAGGAGGAGGAATTACAAGAATTAGGGGAAAACACAGGGCGATGGAATAAAGAGTGGGGAATCTTCTAGAAGGACCTGAGCTCCAGGAAACAGGCCAGACACACCTGGCATTCCTCCCACAGGTCCAGGTCCTGCAAGAGGGACATGGTTCCTGGACATGGGGGCCTTGGACCATTGGAGGAACTGCAGCAGAAAAGGTCGACTTGAATTCTGGTATTATAACTAGTGAAGGGTGCCATTTCGAGGCCACACTTCCTGGTCCTGCAGTTTACAGACCACAAGCCACAGTAAAAAAAAAAAAAAATCAGGCATTACTTTTTAAGAACTGGAAGATCAGATTTTGCCCAGTGCGACTGGGGGGATTGAGGGTTTGAGCCATGTTGGGAAAGGCAGGATCCAGTGACCCCTAAGTCTCACTGGGGTAATCCACCAGGAGAGAAGGGACTAAGCCATCCACAAGGGACACGGGTGCAACTTCTGTTGTCGCTAGGGACATTTCACCTAGTCAGAAGGACCTCCAAAGACTGAGTGAGACACCAGGGTGATCAGCCCTGACCCGGAAAAGGAGGAGGAAGGGGAAGATACCCCGCTGGTGCCAGACTGTCCTCCAAGGGGCAAAGATGGCATCTCCTAGAATGTCAGAAGGGATTTGAAAGTGATAGTGAAGGTAGAGGAAACATGTCACCCACAGTGTACACAGATTCACCCAGGACAAGTTGCAGCTTCCTACTGTACTGAGTGTTGGAAGTGGGGTCACAAAACAGAGAGGCCAGACAGACTCTTCACCTTGTGGACTGTAAGCAGGGGACCCCTTTTTCTGTGACCTTTGCATCTCACCATGGAGTCCTCCTGGCCAGAGACCAGCAAAAGTCCCCAGGTCCAAGTGCAGCACTAGGTGAGGTCCCGATGTGAAGAAGAGGAAAAAGAAAATAAGATTCCTGCAGGGGCTGCCAACATGTCAGGGGTTTTTGATGCTGTGGGTTGGTGAGAGAATTTACCAAGACAAGCAAGTAGGAGAAGCAGGAAATTCATTAGGACGCAGAGAGGCAGCAGCAGCTGAGCACAGGAAGTGCTGCTGCAGCTCCAATAGGAGAGTTGGGTAGGTAAAAAAAAAAAAGCAAAGGGAAATGGAAGCAAAAGAACATCCTGGCAGGAGGGTGGGCAGACTCAGGAGGATCACCGAGGTGGGGTCCCAAGACCTCAAGATTTTATGGGTCTGCAGAAGTGGAAGTGGCCAGTGCTGTGTCATTAACTCTCTGGGACAGGCTCTGTGTCACGACTCCCCCCACATGTCGGTTTTGGCCTTGGGTGGTCAGACTGGGGATGTTATTTTTTGTGGACTCCAGGGCTGCAGGTCAGCAAGACCTGGCTGTTTGTCACAGGTCATTCTATTCACATCAGCATCCAGGATGTGATTCTTGTCAACACCCAAGCCATGGTTCTCGGCCATCAAGGTTCCCAACTCCTGGCCAGTCAGCATCAGTCAGCACCAGCCTGGCTGCTGGTGCCACACCCAGGAGCCAGCAGTGCCCAGCTAAGAAGCCGGTGGGCTGTGTCTCTTGCAGCACTGAGAAGGAAGTTGGGGGGTTTCTTTTCCACCTCTTCTCTAAAAAGGATGACTCCTAAGTTCCCCTTTCTGCACCCTGTCTTCACTGTACCCCACTTTCTCCTCCTGTTCTTGCCAGCTCCCACTAGGAGCTGTGGGAGCTGGGGCAGGGACGCCAGCACCATGGGAAATTTGAACATCTGTGGCCACGGCAGGGCCTTGGTATGACGAGAAGAGTTCAGGGCTAGAGCACTGGAGAATGGCAGGCATGGGGCCTGGGGAGGGGTCCTGAGGAAGGGGTGGGTGGGAGAAAGGATGGGGTTTGGCCTCCTACTTCACTCTTCTCTGAAAGCACCTGCTCTCCTGCACATTCCTCACTGCTCATTCAAATCAAGAAGAAAGAGCAAGCCCTCCTTCAGCCACTCAGTCTGCTGTTGACCCCAGAGAACAAGGCAGCAATGGAGGCTTGGTGGTCAATCAGTGAATGTGTGCTTGGCCAAGAATGGGAGCGCATGTGGGCACATGGTGACAGCAATGTCTACACTTTGAACCCAAACTGCCGAAAGGTGGAATGAAACCTTTCAGGAAATCCCATAAATCCCATAAATGTGTTTTGTCCAAGCCTTCTCACTGAGATCACGTGATAGGGAACGGTTTTTCTCTGAGGGTCAACAAAACCGTTTTCTATAAGAGGTAGGGGGCTGTACTGATGCCTTCACATGAAGACAACAGCATCCTGGTGGTTTAAAGACAGCTGTGAAAGTTGTTCCCCTAGAAAACAATGAATAAACTCGTAAAACCCTGAGCGTGGATTGGGTCCATCAGGACAGAGTCTCCAGGTCAGGAACTATGACCAAGACACTAGAGAGGAAGGAACAGCATGCTGCTGTTTATAAAGGCTGGGTGACCAGAGCTGTCCTCCTGTGCTTCCTGTCCTCAGTGACCTGCCTCCTCAGCCCTCAGCCACACTTTCAGGGCCATGCCTGGCTGTGTGACTCAGGATCTATAGCAGATGGCAGACTGGGCTGAGAAGGTGGAGACCACTGGTGAGATGTGACCAGTGATGTGTAACCAGTGCCCCACCTGTCCTACACTTCATGCTCCTATCCCTGCATAGAGCCCAGCAAGGAGCTGGGAAAATCCTGAGGGAATGGGGGAGAGGGAGGGACATGGCAGGGTTGGCTGGCTGCCCCCTTTCTCTGTGGGGCAGAAGGAGACAAGGCTGCTGGTCACGAGCTTACCCAGGATGGGCTGGGGCAAGGAAGACCCCCCAGGAGTGCCTTCCTTTGCTGCAGCTGAGCAGGGCTGGTGGAGACAGGGACCTGCCTAGCCCTGGACTATGAAGGGCCTGGAATGGCCAAGGGGCAGGGTGGTTGTAAGTCAAGACCCTGTGATGGGCCATGCTTGGCTGAGTCACTGGGGCATCCGGGGTGGGAGGGGGACCCCTTCTAATGCTGCAGCAGGAAGCCATATACCAAGGAGTCTGGGACAGATGGACAAGACGTGACCTGGGGAAGACCCTCCCCCGAGAGAACGGGCCTGTCCTCAGCAGACGTAAGGAAGGGCTGAAGAAGCTGTGGTTTGTGCTGGGGTGTGTGACCCAGTGGTAGAGCACTTGCCTATCCCGGGAGATGTCCTGGGCTCCTCTGTCACAAAAAGAATTTTTAAAATTACACTGAAAGCTAAATCCACCGTTGTCACTGTAGGACACAAGTATAATCATGATTTCTGCTGAGCAAATTGAGTCTTGGGCATAACATGTCCCCAGTTCTAGCTATGTCACCAAAAAAGGTGACATGCCTGGTGGGCGCTGGACAAGAAGGGACGGGCCGAGGGGGCGTGTCCAACGGGGCGTGTCCAAAGGGGCGTGTCCAACGGGGCGTGTCCAATGGGGCGTGTCCAACGGGGCGTGTCCAACAGGGCAAGTCCAACGGGGCGTGCCCAAAGGGGCGTGTCCAGAGAGGAACATGCCACAAGACGCCGGCCCGAGGGTGTGCACAGAGTGCTGTCCCACCGGCCGGGAGTTAGGAGAGGGCCGTGCAGGTAAGGGGGCTATAAGGGGGGCGTGCCGGGAGAGGACCTGAGGGACTGGAGACCCAGAGGGAAGAGGAGGGGAAAGCTGGTGCCGAAAGGGACAGTGCCGGGGTGGAGCGCGTCTGGAAGGTTGTAAGGGGCCAGGTGGCGCCTGGGGGCGGGTGGATCCTGGGCAGACACCAGCACAGGTGGCTGCAGACCTTGTCGCGCACCGACCCTGGATAGTTTCCCGAAAACTTCTCTTGCCTCTTGCAAAGGAGTTGGACCGGCGAGAGGAGCACGCGGCTGAGCTAAGGGTGAGGAAACCGGACCCAGCCTTGCCAAGCCCGGGCACCGCAGGGCGGCACCTGCTTTCCATGGCCACCACCCTGCTGCCCGCTCTGCTGCTCCTGACGCTGGTGAGTGGCTGAGCGCCAGCGGCGGGGTAGGGGTCAGGGCTGGGCTCCGGGGGACAGTGAGCGGTGGGATGGGGTGGGGGTCTGGGCTGTAGCACGTGCGTCCGGGGAGCGCAGGGAGGGAGGGCCCGAGAGCTGCAAAGGGTCGGCTGGACAAGGTTTGAGTTGAGCAGTGAGAAGGAAACCTGTGTAGTGTTCTTGGGCACCCCGAGAACTAGGGGAGTTCCCCAGGCTTTCGGCTTTCGGTAGGGAGCAAAGTCTTGCACCCCTAGCTGATTTGACCAAAGTTCAAAGGATTCAGGAGCCGCACAAGACCCCGAGACCTCACGCCAGTGGCCTCCCTGTGGTGCAAGCTCCTCTGGACTCCGTGAGAACCTGGACTCGGGGCTCTCCCATCCAGCCTCCGGGAGGAAGGACGGCTGTGCGCCCCTCCCCGGCTGGAAAGCGTCCTCACCGGGCCCTCCAGGCCCTGTCCAAGCAGCTTGAGATAACCTAGCACTGAGGTGGCTCAGTCAGAGCCTTTCTATTTTGGCAAGTGTGTTTCCCAGTCCACTTTTTGATAGTGTGAATGGCTGTTTGTTTGCTCAGCTGGGCACACAGGTCTGCCCTCACACTCTGCTCTTTCTGATGCTATTGCAAATGAAATTATTTTCCTTATTAAATTTTTGGAGTGTGTACAACAAGTCTGTAGAAACACAACTGATTTTTGTATACTGATCTTGCATCCCAAAAATCCTGCTGAAATCATTTTTTGGTTCTGTTGGTCTGTCAGTAGATTAGATAAGACTTTCTGTATAAAAGTTCTTGTCATCTGTGAATATAGTTGTCTTTTATTCTTTTCCAAGCTGAAAGACCTTTATTTTTGATTTTCCTGACCAGAGCCCCAGTCCACTATAAAGAGAAAGGGAAAGATCAAGTGTCCTCACCCTCACCCTTTTCATCCAGGGAGAAATCTCCTGTTGTCACCCTCAGTACATGTCAGCTGGGGGTCTCCATATGCACTCACGGGAAGTAGGAGACCCTCCACTCCTGGTCTCCTGAGGATTTGTGTCCTGCAGGGGGAGGCTGTCCAGTGCCTTTCCTGCAACTATTTCATGACCTTCTAGGTTTTGATTCTTACTCTCCTACTATCACACACAATTTAAATTGGTGTTTTGGATGTTCAATGGACCTTGCGTTCCTGGAATGAATCTCACGTAGTTGAAGGGATAAATCTTTGCATATTTTGCTCATTGACTTTACTAGTGTTATCCAGGACGCTTGTGTTTGTGTTTACATGGGAGTAGTTTGTGATGTGCTTGGTTTTGGTAGCAAGGAAAGAATGAGCTAGGAAGTGTCTCTTCCTCTTCTGGCTTTTGGAAGGGTTTGGAAAGATTAGTATTAATTCATTGTGTGTGTGTACATATTTAAATTTATCATCAGAAATCAACATGTAGGCTTTTAATGTTTAGAATTGAGCCTGGAGGTGTGGTTCAGTGATAGAGCTCTTGCCTACCATGCACAAGGCCCTGGATTTCCAGCCCAGCCCTGCAAAGTAAATAAAAATTGAGCATCAGCTCTCCATTCCAGTCACACACACACACACAATAGATGAACAAAATCACAGAAGAGGTGTCAATTCCACATAAGACCATGCAGGTTCTGCTGACTGTCCCACCCAACTACAGGACTCAGGTTATTCCTGGGCTGTGGCTTCTCTCACATCCAGTGTTGCTGGATGACATGTGTCGCCCAGGTCTCACTAACTCTTTCCCAGGGCTGACTTCAAACTGCCATCCACCCAATCTCCACTTCCCAATAGCTGTAACAAACCAAAAAACAGAAGAAATCACAAGAATAGCAGCACTTTTGAGGTGTGTGTGGTACTGGGGTTTGCATTCAGGGCCTCACACTTGCTAGAGAAAAACACCAACTTTTGTAAGGCCCATGTATTTATCTTTACCAGGCCCTGTTATTTCATCAGACTTCCTGTGCAGCATCTGTGTGCAAAGAACCCACTTTAGCCTTTCTTGCAGGCACTTCTGGTTACATTGGCTTCTTCAGCTTTGTTGCTCTCCTCTCTGAATGTCTTCATTTCTCCTTTTTTTTTTTTCAAGTGCTGGGGATCAAACCCAGGGCCTTGCATATGCTAAGAAAGCTCTTTACCACTGAGCTACACCCCTGGCCCTTTCTCCCTCACTTTTGAAGTCCATTTTGTTTTTTTGAGTATGGAATTCTCGGTTGATGGTTTTGTCCTTTGCCTCCTTGAAGAGGTTAGCACACTGTCATCTGGCCTTCAGGGTTTCCAATGAGCATTTGCTGAAAATGTCACTGAGGATCCCTTGTGTGTGACAGTCATTCCACTCAGGGTGCTTTCACCATTCTCTTTGTGTCTTCAGAGATCATGGATTTAGACTCTCTCTCTCTCTCTCTCTCTCTCTCTCCCCCCCCCGCCTCCCTCCCTCTTCCTTCCTCTTTCTTTTTACCCTTTTTTGGGTAGTGTCTGGGTTGGCTTAGGATCCTCCTACCTGTGCCTCCCATGGAGCTGGGACCACAAACATTCACTGCACTACCCAACTTGTTTATTGAGATGGGGGTTTCACTAAGTTTTTGCCAGGGCTGTCTTTGAACTGTGATCTTCCCAATTTCCACCAGGCCCAGCTGGATTTAGTCTTGTTAACTTCAACCTTCTTAGAGTTCACTGAGCTTCTCTGACTTGTGGATTCAAATCTTGCCTGATTTCAGAGTGTGTTCTACCACTGTTTCTTCAAATAATGACTTGGCTTCTTTCTATGTCTCTTTTTCCTAGGAGAAACCGATCATGTAAGTGTCTATTCACTTGATAGTCTCCCACAGGTCTCCTGGGCTCTGCTAATTTTTGTCTTTCATCACTTTTCTTTCTGTTCCTCAGGTTCAGTGATTTACGTTGTCCTGTCATTGAGTTCAGTGACTTTTTCTTTTTCCCAAACTGGGGTTTGAACTCAGGACCTACACCTTGAGCCACTTCACCAGCCCTTTTGTGTGATGGAACTTTTTTTGAGCTAGGGTCTTGTGAGCTATGTGGCCAGGCTGGCTTTGAACCATGATGCTCCTGATCTCTGCTTCCTAAGTAACTAGGATACAGGCGTGAGCCATCGATGCCTGGCAGGTGATTTTTCTTTTGTCTGCTCAAAGCTGCCTTTCAACCCTGCTAGTAAATCTTTCATTTCAGTTATAGTACATTTCATCTCCAGATTTCTTTTTGTGTTTTTTTCTCTCCCTCCCTCCCTCCCTCCCTCCCTTCCTTTCCCTTTTCATATGTTTCCTTATTTTTAAATGTGGTACCACTGTGCTGCCAGCATTTAGGATCTCACGGGCTCCCGTGGTCCTCTCACTTCAGCTTCCCAAGCTGCTGGAATTACAGGTATACACTATAGCACCTGGCTCAGAGTTTCTTCTCTGTTTCCCTTTAATGTATGTGTCTCTTTATTGTTCAGCCATCTCTGAAATGCATAGAGAACAGAAGGTTGGATGACTAAGTATTAGACACCCTGGTTTCCACAAGTTGCCCCAGGACGTGTGTTCAGTGACTGCCACTACCTACAGTGTCAAGAGCTGACGTTGATCACACCTCACTGCTATCTCTGAGCTTCAAGCTCCAGAGTCTGCAAAGAGTTTCTCAAGAGAGCTCCTGCCCTACACCACTGACAAGAGGGAGACTCACTCCTCCTGCTTTCTGCTCCATCCTCTCTGAAGCCACTTCTGCTACAAACACTTACCAGTAGTGTGGACTATGAAGGAGATATTTCTGGTTCTTTCCAGCTGAAGATGACCACCATAAGTGAATCACTTTCTGAGCAGAGTCCACGACTTACTGATCCCGAGTCCTGCAGCCCCAAAGAGTACAAATCTGCCGGCCATTGCTGTGAGCTCTGTCCTGCGGGTGAGTCCTGGGACAGCCCAATGCCAGAGTGTGGACTTAGGTGGCCTTTTAAACAGACCAGAGTCTGTGCTGGCTGGGGAATGTGGGTCAGAGGCTCTGTGAGCTGCTGCCTGCTCTCTCTTTCTATCCCAGGCAGGTGTCTCCCATCCATGTACACAGCCCCAAGGAGGCTCCCTCATGTGCACAGAGAGTTTGTATCTGGCTACTGAGTGGGCACAGGGTGTCCAGCAACTCCTCCTGATCTAGGGTCATCCACTCACCCACTCCATGTGTTGAGCCCTGAGGCCTAGCTGGTGGGAAGGGACAGGGTCAGGAAAGGAAGTGGGAGAGCACCTGGACAAGTGCCAAAAATGCCCTGCCAGGCAGAAAATGGAGCCCAGAGCACTTCAGTCGCTTGCTAGAAGTTGCACCATTGTTAGTGGCAATGCCAGGGCCTTCCATTCTTGTCCTGGTGCCCTCCGTGTCCTCTCATCTCATCCACAAGACAAATGATTCTTTCACAGGAGGCAAGATAGCTGTCATCTTCACACGTAGGGTTCACTGCAGCCAAAGATTACCTCAACAAAGTAAAAAAAAAAAAAAAAATGGCCAGGCAGAATCCAGCAGGGTCCAGGTGGAATCTCGCAGCAGGGCAGATGGCCGAGCCTCAGTGTCCAGGGTTTATGGTTGGCTACTGACACCGCATACAGTGGTCACTTGGCTGGGTGTGGCTATTTAGTGTGGCCCAGAGCCTCAAGCGGACAACACCCATTCACCAGAAATCACAGTCTGCTCTGCTATATGGAGCCATCTGAGTGGGCAGTGTCCTCATGGCCACCATAGTATTTGTCATTTAATCATGTCTATGAACATGTAACCATCCAGGGATTATCTTCAACTTAAACTGGGAGACAAGAATTTCTATAGACTTGTTTGGGGGCAAGGCTCCTTGGGGGAGCAGGGGCAGCACAGCCCTGACAGCAGGGGGTACCTGGAGCTGATCTGACCACTGTCGTTCTCTCACACAGGTGAATATGTGGGCAAGCCCTGTGTGACCCCCCACACCCCAGGAACCTGTGTGAAGTGTGGCCAAGGGACATTCACAAACTCTGCCAATGGCCTGGACTCTTGCTGCTTGTGCACCACCTGCCGTGATGGTAAGTCTGCATGGACGGGACCCGGAAACCCACTGCCCTTGACCCCTCAGAAGCCAGGTCAGGAATGTTATCAAAGAAGGCATTAATTTTGAACCTAAATATTTAGCCATAGAGGTTTGATGTTTGGCTGTGAAACTCGGGAAAATCAAATGTCCATCCATCCAGCCTTGGGACGACACAGTGATGACACACAGTATGACAAGGCTAATGCTGGTCAGGTTTTCCTGAGCAAAAAAAATCACTCCTTATACATTGTCAGAGTTACGCTGTGATTCAAAGAGCAAAGCCATTTTCTGACAGTTTAAAATAATTTATTTGTTTGCTTGCTTTTCTTTTTTGAGGCATAATCTTCCTCTATAATCTAGGCTGGTTTGAGCTCACAGTCCTCCTGCCTTGGCAAGTGTGCCCACCCATAGCTTTCATCTTTTAATTTTTTCTCTTAACTGCAATTTGTTCAGTCTAGAATCTCAAAAAAACACATGCACACATTCAGTAAGGAGACAAAGCTCACCCCTCAGAGAATAAGAAAGTGTTCGTTATGAAAATCTTCAAATGTGTAGAAAAGTTGGAGGAATACAGCAGTGGACACCAGGGATCTCCTTCCCCTAACACTGAGCTGGCCAAGTGCTAGTGGCTCACGCCTATAATCCTAGCTACGTGGGAGGCTGAGAGCAGGAGGATTGCGGCTTGAGGCCAGCCAAGGTGAATAGCTCGAGACACCTCCATCTCCACAATAACCACAGCAGAATGGACTGGAGGTGTAGCTCAAGCCATAGAGTACCTGCTTTGCAAGTTCAAAGCCATGAGTTCAAACCGCAGTCCCAACAACAAAAAGATAGAGTTTGTTTTTCCCCCTGGCACTTGAAGCCTGACTGTCCTGTGCTCGTCCTCCCACGGCCAGGAGACTCTCCAGAGAACTACGCTGTTGCATTTGGGCATTGCTGCCGCTCAGGTACACTGCCCTGGGCTAGAACAGCTGGACTTTGGACATCTGAGTTCAAGGGGCCCAGCACCCTAGAAATGAACGAAAGGGTGACATTACAGTGATTTCAGGCTTCTCTGCAAATGTCTTTTTCAGACTTTCCCTTGCTTACATTTCCAAGCTTACAAGTTGTTTACTGAGGTTGAGGACCATTCACTTGTCCTCTGTGGTCACCTGGGTTGTGTTAGGAGGACTGGGGCATTTTCAATGATTCAAAATGGTCCATGGGCTCAACCTGTCTCAACCCACACACTGTCCTTGGATGCTGACCCTGGATGCATTGTGTGGCAGTGAGATTACGGCATTCTGAATGTAATTTTAGTAGGGACAGCTATCAGGCACCATCCTGTCACCCAGAAGCTGACATTCAGATCCCGAGAGCTCACACGGGAGATTATAAAACTGAACCGTTGGGTTAGGTGTGTGAGGAAATTTTAAAATATCTCAATGACTTTTTAAATGACTTTGATTTTTAACAACGATCCAGAATTCTGCGACATTCCACCTACCATCTAATTCCTCATTCTGGACCAATTCAAGGGAGAGGAGTACATGAGGAACAAATGGAAAATACACAGAGAAAAAGGCAGCCATGTGCCCAAGTGAAACCAAACTTATAAAGAAATAAAATGAGTTTAAATAATTGGCGGGGCCACGGGTATGCCTCAGTGCTCGAACGCTTACCTACCCTGAACGAGAACCTGGATTCCATCCCCAGAACCAGGGCAGAAAAATAAAAAGCTAATATTTCCCCATGCATGTGCATTCATGCGTGTTATAGCATGTGTGTCTGCGTGAGACATCCTGTGTCACCCAGCTGTGTCAGAGTAAGTGGCAGACATGGCAACACTGGAGCATGTGTGACCTACATGTAAGACACTGCAGTGCAAAGCCACAGGCTCTGGTCACATCCAGGAAGTGAACAGTGGTTCACTAAGGTCCTGCAGCGTCCATGCCGGGCACACATTTGTGTGGTGCCTCTTCCCTGTGAAAACTGAGTGCAGCAGAGAACATGGAGGCTTGGTTTTCTCTGTCACATGAAACCAGCTGACATCACCTAACTTCAGAGAAACGCTAGAGGTGGCAGCTGAAACCTCACTGTTCCCAGTGCGCTGAACTCTGTGCACAGGGTTGGAAGATGGATAACCCTAACCCAATGTGGAAACCACTTCCGTGTCTGTGGTAGGGCACAAAGTTACAGTGTTCACCGTAAGGAGACATCTGGTGAGCTCGTTTTAAAAGGTGACACTTGGAGCCCAGGACCTGCCAGCAACTGGGCTCTGTGAGAAGCTGGCAGATCACTACATGGTCTTCCAGATAAAAGAGCAGGTTACTTAACCACCACCAGGTGTGAGAGACGGCTGGTGGAGACAGTGGCATAGGGAGGGCTCCCTTGTCAGGCGCTGGTGCATAAGGCAGGACGGCCTTTGACAGAGGCCTCAGCCCAGGGCAGCTGAGATAGTGGTACAAGAGGCTGACCCTGCAAACTTCCTGAGAACAGCCCAGGTGTGGATGTGACCCTGGAGCAGGTGTGCAGATGTCCACAGTGCATTGTTTGTGGTCAGTGTTTGGGAACCTTGGGGCACCTGCCGTGGCTGGGTAAGCTCCATCCAGGGGACACTGCAGTCAGGTGTGGTCCATGGGCATGCATGAGAATGATGCTCTACCTGAAACTTATTTCATTCTTCTCTGGGCTGCAGATCAGGAAATGGTGACAAACTGTTCTTCAACCCAGAACCGGGTGTGCCAGTGCCAAACAGGCCGTTTCTACCAGGATCTACAGGACTTTGAACACTGCACCCCATGTAGCAAGTAGGTGACACCCTGGGCAGGGGCCTTGGGCAGGGGTCATAGGTGGCCTTGGACCTGGACCTGCGTGGGGTGATACTTTACAAGCTGAGAACCAGCGGGAAGAAAGGGAGGCAGTGCCTCAGGGACTCAGGTTCCCCAAGTGGTGTCCAGCACAGGGATTTGTCCAGTGCTTTCCGCTGCGTGAGTGAAGTTTGAGATCTGAGAATCAGCGTGACTCATTCAGAGCATGGGGAGCAGGGGATGATGGCAGGAAGCAAAGGATGCTGGACTTGATTTTTAGAGAAATTCTTCACCATTGCCCCTCAGGAAGATGCAGCGTTTTGATGTCCGTAAGGGATGACAGCAAGTGACAGAGCCTGCTCAGGTCAAGCCCAGCTTGGTGTGGCACATAAGCCACGTGCCTGGGTTTGAAGTAATGAGGAAGGAACCCGAAATCCCTGACTCTTGACCTAATATGGCAGGGCGGATTCCGTTTTTCCTCAATCCATAGGGCACCAGTGACTCTCTAAATGTCTATGGAAGAGAAAAGTGATAAACTTCTGTGGTCGTTTAGTGAGAATCACAGCGATGGCATCTGACCAGCTGGGAGGGTGGTCACAGCCATGAGGCTTCCCAAGGTCTCTGACCACTACACGCCATGCTCCCTGATGTGGGCTGGAGATGCACCAGGCCCTCTGGGCACAGGGCCACAACCCCAGAACCTCCATCTGCTGATGCTGAAAAGCACGGGCCCATGGAAGCCACTGAGGGGGGTCTCTCTCCAGGTGTCCCAAGGGGAAGCTCGTCCTCAGGAAGTGTAACGCAACAGCTGACACGGTGTGCAGTTTAGCTGCTCCAAGTAAGAGACTTTTTATATGACTATTTTCTATTGGGGTGTAATTCATGTGGCATAAAGTGAACCATTTGAAGTAAACACTTTAGTGGCATTCAATGTCACCCCTTCCTTTAGTGACATCCCTTCCTTCTAGTTCCAAAACATACAGATCTCCCCAAAAGGAATCTTTGTCTCCACTAAACAATGACTCCCTATAGCCCGCCCCCTGGAACCCCAGATGACCTCTGTCCCATGGCTGTGTCCACTCTGGACATTTCATGGATGTGGAAACGCACATCCCGTGCTGGCTTCTTCACTGAGCTTGGTGTGCTTAGCGTTCCCATCCAGGTTGTCACCTGTATCACTGCCTCACTCCTTTCTATGGCTGAATGATCACACACCCACATTTTTCATCTGTTGATGGGATTTTAGTAATACTTTAAAATAAACAGAATATTGAGCCAAGAGGGTTTTTTGTTTTGGGGTGTTTTTTGGGGGGGTTACTAAGGCTTGAACTCAGGGACTACACCTTGAGCCACTCCACCAGCCCTTTTTTGTGATGGTTTTTTTCAAGATAGGGTCTCAAGAACTATTTGCCTGGGCTGGCTTTGAACCACAATCCTCCTGATCTCTGCCTCCTGAGTAGCTAGAATTACCAGTGTGTGCTACTGGCACCGGCTGAGCCAAGAGTTTTTAGTGGGGGAAAAGTCTCTTCAACAAATGGTGTTATGAGCACTTGATATTGGGCCCCTGTCCTGGGTCTGTGTCCTGGAGAGGCACAGGCATAGCTGGTGCTGTGGTAGTACTTGATGGCTGGAACTCCAGTGCAGACATAAGAAGAAAGTGACGTGTGAGTCTCCTAAGACATGGCCTGGCTGTGCCTGCTCCTGCTGGCTGATGGGCCACAAGCTCCAAGCAGTGTCCCCAAGGTCATGGGCCTGACTTGTGGCAAGTGGCAAACCATTTCCTCTACCCACCACATGGCCCAGGGAAGCCCTCAGGCATCTGACACCTGCTACCTGCGGTCTGTCACCCTGGAGGAGCTGGTCCCGCCTGCCTTCCTCTGTGCCCATCCAGGCCAAGCCTCTCCCCAGGACTGCAAGCTCACCTGGGCTAGGGAGTGGGTTGTGGTTTGTCAGTTCTCTCTTTACCGTGGGACTTCTGGGGAAAGTGTCATTTCCTGACCTTACCAGGATGTTTTCTGTGTGCCCCACTTTTAGATAGAAGAAACTGGCTGTGGATCCTAAGTGTTGTACTTACCCAGCTTTTATGGTCTTCCTCTCTTTCCTAATAAAAGGTAGGCCCTAGATGTGTGGTTGTCACTCTGACAAGATTAAACTCAGATTTGTGACCCCTTGATAGGAGCAAGTAACACCCCGTGTGTGGGCAGATCCTGAAAAACCTAATTCACAGTGGGACTGCCACTCCTTCTAGGGACACAGTGCTCATAGGAAAAGGTCCTTCTTGCCCAGGGGATCACCTGCAGGGAATCCAGGAGCAGGCCTGAAGAGGCAGAGGACAGCACAGATGGATGCTTGGAAGGACCCTAGTTCATCTCCGTCAGTGGAGTCTCAGAGGCAGACCTGGCTCAGGACAGCTTGCAGCAGAGTATGTCCAGGCTGGCTCAGAGGGGAGACCAAGGTGGCCACAGGTGCTACATGGCAGTTGGGTACTCTTGATGCAGAGTCCCAGGCCTCTTAGAAATTTCAGGTTCATCCCAGTAGCTTCCCTAGGGGTCGATATGACACCCTCCCAGCCTGAGTGGGTAGTGGATCTCAGATCTCAGATCTCTGCACCAACCCACTGCTAACCACAAGCTTGCTGTCTGTCTTTGCAGGAAATGACAATGAGGAAGAGAATGCAGTGAGTGTGGGCCTGCGCCATGGGCCGTGGCTGTCAGCAGGGCTCAGGGTAGGCCCAGTCGTGTCTCCCATCCAGGGTTAGGCTGGCCTGTGACTCTTGAGTGAAGTCAGGGGTAGACGTACAGCTCCAGGAAGCTGCCTATCTATTGGGTGGGACTCCTTACTCAGGCCAACGAATTAACTTAAACACAGGCGAAGCTTGGCACCCCCGCCTGCATTTTGTGCATGTCTTTGCTCTAAGCCATGCTCTTTGCAATCAGCTTGGGTTCCAGGAAAGACAGATGATAACATCTTCTTGACAAGGGACTGGAGCCACCCCAACAGTAGTCCCTGCTGAGGATGGGCCACCCTCCAGACAACTCCAGAACCCCTCCCAGAACAAGGCCTGGGGTAATGGTCAGCCAGAACACACCTGTGACTGGGACGGTTTAACTATGCTTACCTTTGTCCCCTGCCCCCGTTCTTCTGTCTACTTACACCTATAGCTCATGTCTGTAGCCCGAAGATGGCTGAGACAGGCTTACTCTGCCTCTTCCCATGGCGTGACCTAACCTGTGCAATAAACCTCCTTTCTCTGCCTTCACCAGGCCTCTTTATTTGGCATTTAGGGGTAGTGACTGGACCTGGCATATGGAATCTCAGAAGTTTGGGCCTTGGGTCCAAAACTCCAGTTTCAGCTTTGGTGAGCCACAGCTGAAAATGTGTGGAGAAAATGTGTACTTTAGGTGCTGGCCACCCACACTATTTGACCCTGGATGGAGAGGAAAGATGGAATTGGTTCTCATCAGCAGCTGGAATTACTTTTATTCCAGGGACCTTTTTCTCATCCTTCCACTTTAGCCAGCATTGGCTGCTTTTTTACCACCATTCAGTGAAGTGGAGAGATAAGTGAACCTTGAGTTTAAGCACTTTTTAGTGGGACCCCCAATGGCTTCTCCAATGCACATTTAGGCCTCACTTTTCTTATTGTGGGTTCAGGCATTTGTTTTGACAAGAAATTTGAAGTTTTGTGATCTTTGTCTTGTTCCTCTGTCATTTGAGCTCTCTTGGGCTATTTGAGGCTTGGGCCATTTGTTTTTATAGTCAGAGAAACTTGAAGAACCAAGGAGCCACACAAAGTATGAAGACCAGGGTGTATGGGAGACCTCTTTTGTAATTTTTTGTAACCATGGGAGATACTAAGTCTATAACAGCTTACGAATGAAAAGCACTAAGTCCATCTTGCCCCCTAGGGAGAATTCTAGCTGACTAGTCTACCAAAAAAAGAAGACAATTTCTAAGAGTGCACTTGGAATTAATGTAATTGTTTGTGTGTGTCAAAGCACACACTGTGTGCTTACTGGAAGCTGAGACTGTGGCCACTAAATTAATTGTTGCTATATTTGAAGTTTACTTGCCTAGGACCAGTCCTCAAAACTTACGAGACTCTCAGGTGACTGATAGGATAGTATTCGGTTATGCAGTCTTCAGATAAAGCACTTTGTAGTGTCTGCTTTTAAAGTATCCCAGACTTTTAAACTTAAAGCATACAGAGTTATATTAATAGCAGTTACATTTTCTATGTTAGTGTGTGTGCTACCTGTTTTATGAGGTGTTTAACATACCTCAGGTCAGTTCTGTGCATGACCACTGGCCAAATACTGTTCTGTGGCTTCTTAGGAGCCATCCGTGTTACGATGCGCTGTTATCTTGCTGCTTCACAGACAGCTGAGGAGGAACTGGAATTATTAATATCTCTTAGACATGATGTAAAATTAAAGGTGTGCGTAAATGAGCAGTGTTTTGGTTTTAAAATTGATCGGTACTATAGAGCTTCTGGGGTTTGTATGTTTTAATGTTCACTTTAAAATGCACACAATAAATTAAACTGAAAACAACAAAAAAATTAATTAATTAATTGTTGCCTGTTCTTGAGCTCTTGAAACTCTGTGCTTAAATTGAGATTATGTCATGCCTAATTTCAAACTTTCTGTGGATGCGAACATCAGATGACTTACTATAGAGTTAACGTACAGGAATTGCTGCCTCTGTTCTCTCTCCCCACCTCTTCTGTTGCTATTTAAAAAAACAAAACAAAACAGTTTTCTACAGTTACTTTAAGCAGGTCTAGCAAAAATGCAGCCATTAAAGAATTGTCCTCTGCCTTAGGCCTGAAGAAAAGGACTGGATGGACAGTAACCTTGATGTGTTTCATTTTGTTGTCAGTGTAATTTGCGTTCAGCTCTCTTTTATACTTGGATCTATTAACAAATGTGTTTTTGTAAATTGCTTATTGTATAGAGACACAGGTTAAAACTGCTTCTCTTCCTGAGTCTTTATTTAAATATAAGGCAAATAGAGTATTTTATTTTATTGGGCAAACGAACAATTTTGTCTTAATACAAAGTTTTGAAAAAATTATTTCAAAGTGCAAATTAGAAAGGTCTGAAAGATTATTGAAAGCATATGCATTTATTTAAGTCAGCTATAATTTAAAAGTTTCCTAAAGAATTTTCTAATGTCGGAAGATTCCAAGATGGCAGCTAGAGGGAGGAAGCAGAAAGCGTGCCTCCTAAAGTAAAATCTTGGAGAGATGCTGGAGACACACCTTACAGGAAAAACCACTGAGAAGAGGCAAAGCTGTGACTCCTCCACACCTCCAGCCTGCGCACAGCATCTCCACCTCATGTTAAACAGAGAAACCAGGAGGACTCCCGTGCCACTGCCAGATGGCGGCGCCCAGATGGCTTGGGAGGATGCAGACCACAAGATGAGCTAAGTGACACGCAGTACTCCCACAGACAACCCTGGGCCAGATCAGCATAGTCCCCTGGACAGACCGACCCCCACCCAGGGAAAAAAGAAAAAAAAACTGAATAATAAGCAATAACAACAAAAAAGACACATAGCAAAGAGGGTGGGGCACCCTGAGCACCTCAGAGGGCGGGAAGGGAAACCCCTCACAACAAGCCGGCCAGAGAAGGCAGGAGCGGCGGCACACACCCAGCAACCAGGAGCGGGAAAGCTTGTAAAAGTGGTGGTGGGAGGAAAACTCCACAGGATTGGGGGGAAGGCCCACTTCCCACGTGAACTGTAAATAAACACGCAGGCCTGAGAAAGCGGGTGCAGTGTCACCTCCCCCAGTGTGCTTGGAAAGGGGAAAGCCTGTAGCAGAGGCTCCCGCACAGGAGAACTCTGAGCAAACAAAGCCTGCGGGGCCAGATGAGTGCTAAGCTCACTCCTGAGATCTGCATAAATAACGCCTCCAGCAACAGCAGGCTGACAGCAGTGGGCAGGTGAGCCACAACCGCAGAAAGCCATTCACAGAACTGTCTCCAGACTCTTTATTTTTTTCTCCTTACCTTTGATGAGAAAACAACCAAACTACACCTGCATGCTGAAAAACTTACTGAAACTGTATTGCATTTGAACCTGGGACACTATGTGGTGTTTTTTTTTAGTTTAGGTTTGTTTGGTTTGGTTTGGTTTTTTTCCCCTTTGATGAGACAATGACAGAACTACTTCTGAGATACCATCTCCAGGATTGGAGGCTGAGGGACGAACACCAAAATTATTAAGACTGAAACTTTATTGCATTTGAACTTGGAGATTTTTTTTTTTCCTCAATCCTCTCTCTGTCTCTCTAATGCCTGTTCAGCTTACTGTTGATTAGTTCTCTATCTATCCCTGTTTATAACTTTGAAACTTTGTTTGTTTGGGGTTTTTTTTGTTTGTTTACTTGTTTTTCCCTCTTTCTTTAACTTCTTTGGTTTCCCTCTCCTCTCACCTTTCCATTCTAAATATCACCATTGGTATTATCACAAACTAGAAAATACTTAATTTCACACAGTACAGGGACAATAACAACACCAAGGGCAATGACGGGAAGACAGAAAAAACAGGGAAACCAGTTTCCCCACAGCAAAAAATTAGTACAGGAACCAGAGGGAAATGAAGAAAACAGATACTCAGATCCAGACTCCAACAAAACGAAGATAAACTATGTCAAAGAACACAATGAAGCCCACAAGAATAATCTAAAAGAAGAAATACTACAGGTACTCAATGAGAATTTTATGGAGATGATACTGGATAGGATCAACCAAAATGTACAGGAGACACTCAAGAAGTTCCAAGACAACAAAAATAGAGAATTTGAAAAAGCAAAAGAAGAAATAAAGGAAACCATAGAAGCACTGTATAAACACCAAAGTGAAACAACATGAGTATTCATGTCCAAAGGATACCTATAGAAGGATATAAAACATCACTCTATTGATCGTACATTAGCGCATTAAGTCAAAAAAATCCTCGTCAAAATGGATATCCCCTGCCATAATATGGCCTCTTAATCTACTTTCCTCCATGAAACCAGCAACCTGCTCGGGAAGTATCCCTCTTCTCGCTCTGGGCCCATTAAACTTGGGGGTTTCTATAGTGAAACTATACCTGGCATCTGGTTCTTACTTCAGGGCCATAGCAATTAAGATCGCCCACACATTCCCCTTAAATAAGACATCGCGATGGACTAATGACTAGACTGGCCCATGATCAACATAACTGTTCTGTCATACATTTGGTATTTTTTAAATTTTAGGATGCTGTGACTCAGCATAGCTGTCAAGGAATGGTCTCAGTCAATTCAATTGTAGCTGGACTTTTAAGTCAATATTCTTAACCTACATAATAAAAATCAAGGTATGCTAGAACTCCATGCTTGATGGACATAAGAGAAAAACAACACACACATATGCATACATGTATACACATATCTATGGGCAACCCCCCCACCCCCCCCACATGACTAACTCTTGCCAAACCCCAAAAACAAGAAACATGTCCTACTAACAAACTTTTATATATTCATCCACCCATAAACCTTGCATTTTCATCCTTTATTATATACGTTCAATTTATTAATGTAACATCTGAGTATCTCGTAAATTAAATCGTGCAACACACAATCCAACTCCACACTCCCTCCCACATACTAGTAAGATACCTGAAATAACCAACCACATAAAAGAAAAGAATTAACCTCAAATACAAAAGTTAATGTAGCTTATATATCAAATAATAATTATATTGTAATGTACGCATTACAATAACATATGTATACCGTTCATTAAGTTATATTCCACATTAATAATGCCTGGGTACTTAAAATGTTAATCATACATAGTACATAACTGCATAATTATACATAACAATCTCCCAGTACAAGCATATAAGCAAGCACATACATAACAATCGGACTATAACACATACAGTGTCAACGGACATAAACCAACTAACAACATGATCAATAAAGAGATAAATGAACTCAGGATGAAAATAGACAACATTAAAGAGGAAGGGACCCAGGATATGGAAAACCTCCGAAAAAAGAACAAAACAGAATTGCAAAACAAAATGGAAGGCCAATCCAGCAGAAATGAACAAACAGAAGACAGAATCTCAGAACTCGAAGATGAAATGGTAATTAAAGGAAAAACCAAAGAACTATTAGTTAAACAACTCAAGACCTGTGAAAGAAAATGCAGGAACCCAGCGACTCCATCAAAAGACCAAAC